ACGCAAGGAACGTTAATGAAAAAAAAATGAGAGTTAAAAATCATCATGTTTGAAGTTTCCATATCCAAATGCAACAGAGCCACCTTTTCATAGTTTGAAATTCTGTTTTAGATTCCATATCAAAACTAAAATACAGTGTGATTCGGTAATCGTACGACAAAGTTTCTTAAGTTCTTCTACTCCTCAAATGTAACAAAAAAGTTCGTATCAACCATGGCTAGTAGCGGCTGATGTCCGCCGTATGAAACATAAAAATAGCAGCCTAGGAAAAACTGCAATAAATATATGAAGGCAGCAGTTAGCCAACTGAACATAATCGATCCTTTGTTATGTGACAAACGCCCGGATGTAGGAATACTGGAAATGTTATAATGATGTGCTCGGAATATATGAATGACATTAAGACAGTTGCCAACACCTCTCTATTCCCTCGGGCACCTCAACGCGAACTGGTTAAATTGTATATTTACAAATCAATCATATTGGTAAGTAGTAAGGATTAAAATAAAAAGTAAATAATAAATAATAATAAATATTGCCGATATATTAAGATGAGCCACGTTAAAACTAAACATCACAAAATTTTAGCACAATTTTTTTGTTTGTTAATTTGTTAATTAACTATAATTACCCGTAGGAACATCGGATACTCTGGGGTATTGAAAATGAATGTGTGAAGGTAATTTATTAGCGTGAATAGAGAGGCTTATCCCAAATTATCCCGAGGAATATCGAGTACTCCGGAGTGGAGAGAATGAATGTGTGAGGGAGAGTGAATAGAGGAGAAGGGGAGTGAGAAATAGAAAGAGTGAGGAAGAGAATGAGAAAGGCAGAGAGAGAGCGAGTACAGGAGAAGGGAAGTGAGAAGGAGAGAGTGAGAAAGTTAGTGAGTAGAGGAGAAAGGGAGGTGAGAATGAGAAGGAGTGAGCGAGAGAGTTAGATAGAGAAATAGAGACAGAGAGTGAATAAAAGGGGAGAGAGAAACAGGAAGAGAGAGTGGGAGAGTAAGGGAAGAGAGGAGAAGGAGAGAGAGAGAGAAAGAAAAAGAGAGAGAGTGCGAGAGTGAGTAGAGGAGAACAGGATTGAAAAATAGAAAGAGACAACGTGAAACAGTGAGAAGGAGAAGGGAAGTGAGAAAGAGATAGTAAGAGAGTTAGTGCGTAGAGGAGAAGGGGAGTGAGAAATAGAAAGAGAGAGTGTGAGAGAGAGTTAGTACAGGAGAAGTGAAGTGAGAAAGAGATAGTAAGAGAGTTAGTGCGTAGAGGAGAAGGGGAGTGAGAAATAGAAAGAGAGAGAGCGAGTAGGGGAGAAGGGAAGTGAAAAGGAGAGAGTGAGAGAAAGAGAGATGCCAAATCTTCAAGTCAAAGCAAAGTAAACCGACTTAGTGATAAGAAAGAACAAAACACGTAAATGTGAAGCAACAAATAAGGTATTTTCTATTCCTAGAAGCTGACGAACACCGTAGCAGGTAGATTGTGCTATCGTGGCCATGAATGCAACGGAACGCCAGTGGATTCCTTTCTGTTTAGTCAGACGTGAAGCAGCCTCTGCAGAGCCTTGGATGCATCGGGTTTATTGTCAACAACAGAATTAGCACACGTCTTATGATAATCGACGGAGTTTCGGTTGATAAGGCACGATGGAAACAATGGTCTGTCCTTAAGTAAGTTCACGTCCCCCTCCATCTAATCTTAGTTAACTAATTGTGGGATCTTCGGCCAATTAAAATTGTGAATTCAACCAACAAGGTTTGTTGTGCAATCCGTTGCAGCATCTTTTAATATTTTGTTATGAACGACAATTTTAACATGGTGGTGATAAAAAAAGGCTTCTAAATGGGGCCCCTGCTGGTTTACATTAAAATAAATGTACTTACGTAACTACTGCAAAGAAATATCCGTGTAAACATCCTCCTCTTTTGTAGTAAATGATAAAGATGAGTTCAAAGTTATTACAAATTGTACTGAAAAGGCTCCAACTGTAATTTGTAGAAAATAAATAGCCTAAAAGTACAAATGATTTTAATATCGTTCAACCTCTTAATCTACAGAGCTAATATAACTTAACTTCGATAAATTTTAACTAATCTGGCTTCATTGTTGGACACTGTCAGCATGCTTTTATCTCGAATATATTACACTGAAGTTTCATCTTGTTTATATGATAGAAGTTTTAAACATGTCAGAGAATCAACTGCCTAAAGTCTTGGAAACTATAAAAAAGGTATATAATGGCGTAAACCAAATCGCTAAATTGGTTAATATGAGTTTTAGCACGTATCGATTTAAATGAACTACCCAATATTTCATGAAATAATAGAACTTTTACCTTACTTCAAAAATATAATATATATTATGTTGCAATAATATAAAAGAAATTGACAAATTTTTGTAGAGAATTGGATTTTGAGTTAAAATGAAAATTTTATTGAAATAGTAAGTAATGTTTTGACACAAAAATCTGATGTTATGACTTGCTTGGGGGAAATGGTTAATTTAAACTTTAAGCCATTATCAAGACGTGAATTTACGTTTGCTGGTGTAATGAAAAAGAGGACACCTACCATTTTTTTAGCAATATGTCAAAAGCTTACATGTGTAAGAAAGAAATATTTCAGCTTTAAAATTCTGGATGGAGAAAAATGTTTTACTTTTTTTAAATGGTAACATTTAAACAAATTTGATCAGATACTTTGTAGAGGCTTATATTTTAAGATCGTCACTTGTATAAGTTAGCTGTAAATACCATTTAAATGTTACTTTCATTTTGTCTGTTGATTTTCCTATAGGTTATTTGTTATTTATTTAAGCTACTTAATTTTTAACGTCAAATTACCAATTGTTTGTTGCCTTTAATTCTATATATTTGTCTTGCCAAATAATAAGGTTATGTGTTCACAATTGCAGTCTACAAAAGATAGCAACAGAAATAATTTGCTTAACTTATATTACTTTTTCCTTTTTTTTATCTCTGTTACTAGACATAACAAATAATTTAGTTTTTTGAAAAAGGACTACTTTTGACGGCTTCTAACGCCAAAACTACTGTATTAATTTATATTTATTTAAGTTGTATACTATTTTATATGTAATTAATTGAAAAGCCCTAATATAAGATTTTTTTTTTGAAAATGGAAATTTTTGAAACTAATTTGTCTTTTTTGTTTTAAAAAAGGTTCGTTTCTAAAGGAAATTTACACATATCATCAGCAACTACATATATTTTTGAAACACATAAGTACAAGTATATCCGTATTTTACAAGTTTTTTATAAAGCTTATCTTATATATATATATTTTTTTGGAAAATTTCAATATATATATATTTTTTTTAAAGATATGGCCATTTTGTATCTGTAATTTAGGTTTATTTATTTAAAATTTTGTATTATTTGTTTGTTTAAAAAAGATTCATTTTGAAAGGAAATTTACACCCATCATCAGCAACTACATACAATTTTTGAAATACATAAGTATAACAAGGATATCAGTATTTTACAACTTTTTATTGCAAAGCTTATCTTATATTTTTTTATTTTGAAAATTTTGATTATATATAATTTTGTATCTGTAATTTAGGTTTATTTATTTAAAATTTTGTATTCTTTTTTTGTTAAAAAAATTTCCGTTTCGATTAGAAATTTATACCCATCATCATCAACTACATACATTTTTGAAATACATAAGTATAACAAGGATATCAGTTTTTTACAATTTTTTATTGTAAAGCTTACCTTATATTTTTTTATTTTGAAAATTTTGCATCTGTAATTTAAGTTTATTTATATAAACTTTTTCTATTATTTTTTTGTTAAAAAAAGTTCCGTTTCAAATAGAAATTAACACCCATCATCAGCAACTACATATATTTTTGAAATACATAAGTACAACAAAGATATCAGTATTTTACAACTTTTTATTATAAATTTCAATTAGCTAGGGTTTTTAGTTGAGATAAAACAGTCAGTGTCACGAGCGGGAATCGAACCCATGATCTTCGGCTAGATACGCCGCTACTCTACCACTCGAGCTATCGTGACTTCGATCCTCTCGAACAGTAACTTCCCAATCCGGATCGTTGGAAAACAATGTAAGTAAGAACTATCTTTTTTAAAAAAGGACTAACTTTTCTTTTCAACCCCACCTTTTGAATTTTCCCTCCTTTTTGCCATTTTTCAAATATCGTGCTCTCCGTGGACATTTCATTTGTCGCCGACAATCAAGTACATTACACGAAATTTCAAAAATGGCAAAAAGGAGGGAAAATTGGGTGGGGTTGAGTTGGGGAGTTGGTGTCCGACGGGATCGAAGTGACGATAGCTCAAGTGGTAGAGTAGCGGCGAATCTAGCCGAAGGTCATGGGTTCAAATCCCGCTCGTGACCTGACTTTTTTATCTCAACTAAAAACCTTAATTAATTGAAAGATATTAATTGGTCAAGCGGACCACGAAAACTAGTGAATTTTTATAATAAAGCTTACCTTATATTTTTTTATTTTGAAATTTTTTATTACATATGTATTTATATTTATGTATTATATTTTTATTACATATGTTACATAAAGGTTATATGACCTTTTGTTTCTATAATTTTAGTTTTTAATTTATGAAATGTAAAAAATTACGCAGCTCTTTCTCAGCGTATAATATAGCATATAAACTACTCAATACGTACAAACAATTTAAAAAAAACCCACACATTTTGGATTTTGAACGTATATGTTTGTAAGTATCTGTTTTATCTCAACCAAGGCCTTACATAGAAAGAATAATTAATTGAAAGAAGTAACTTGTACCACTAAAACGTAAATAAGTTTGTAAGTATGTCGATATCGAATGCCGGGCCGCTTCATTCGAACCCGGGCCCTTTACCTCACAGTGATGAGCGCCGTGTCAACGCCTAAACCTCGATGACGCAAACTTACAACTTTTTTTAAACCACATGGCACTAAAAATAAAGACAACAATAATAATTCTAAGGAAGAATCCAGTGAAACACATAAAAATAATAAATGCTTTTATTTTTCGTATTGTGTATTTGTTACATAACATGCACAGTAAAACCTGATTTTTCTTGTTCTATACAGTCATATATAATTGCAATCGATACAATCATTCAATCGGAAAAGATCTATTTGGGTGTATAGAGCTTGTTCCTCTTCCAAACAGTCGTTTGTAAACAATAAACTCAGGTGTGACATCGACCAGGGTGGTTCGACTATCGTTCCTGTTCCCCATTTTTGGACGTTTTGTGTTCTGGTGGCTTCTCAAAATTTGCCGTATCGACCTCCTCCCGGGCATGCGAGGGAGTAGATCTATGTTTTCGTACTTCTGGCTTAAAAGTCCCATTTGTTGAGGCGTTTCGGGGTCGAGAATTTTGTAATTGCTGGCTTCCACCCTTGGACTGGGACCGGCCATCTGTCGTCTAGAATGTGCCCATGGATTGTAATTGAAGCGCTTCATGGTTTCACCTTTCAAGTAAATGACAGTTCCTTCATCGGAAGCGATGGTGGGCCGATTTGTTAACAAAGCCGTCGCTACAGCGCAAAAGATCAAAGGGACGTTTAATTCTAAAACAATCATAAGACATAAAAATGAACGATAAAAGCTTCAGACATTCAAGATAAATAAAGAAGTGTGTTGTTCAACTTCCGGTGGTACAATATGTAGTTGAAATAGTGAGGAGCGGTCAGGTTAGATGTATGTCAGAAAAACACCTTTTTCATTAATTGCCAACGTTTCGACCTTCATTCGAGTCATCTCAGAGCTTATATAGCTTCAAAACATAAAGTATAGCATTATTCGGGTAGTGTTTGTTAGGTGTACACGTAGTGAAATTGTTGTGAGCTATAAACATAACTCTACATTTTATGCCTTGAAGATGACCCGAATAAAGGTTGAATGGCCCTCAGAGAATCTGAGCAGGAGTCGAGGGATCGCCCTCACCCGACTGAGGATTGGCCATACACGGTTGACACATGGGCACCTGCATTTGGGCCAAAGCCCGCGCAGGTGCCCCTTATGCAGAGAAAGGTTGCTCGATGTGTCCCACATAATATAGAGGCGTGTCATGCCTTGGATCCATACAGAGAGCGTGTAGGCATGCCGCCGGACTTAAGAAGAGTTCTCGAGCACGGTAGCGAGTTTCAGAGTCCCCTGTTCCGCTTTTTAGGGGAAATTGGTTTTTTTTAATTTTATATAGTATGTCTTATGTGTTGTGTCTATATGTTTTGTCTGAGTGCATGTATTTATTAGCGTGAATGGCGAGGGGTGAGGGTGAAGTATAACGTCATCATCACCCCTCGAACGATGAGAGCGTAAGAGTGTGTGTTCGGGGTCGATGGCGTAATATTTATAAAAGTACTCCATCGACCCCAATCTAGATTAGTTTAGGTATATTTCGGTGGAGGAATATCAAGTACTACACCGACCAAACGGAAAGAGTGTATTGTATGAATGTATTTATGTGTATGAGTGTATTTATTTGTATGAATGTAGTGTTTGAAGAAAGGGTAAATAGAATACAGACATAGTTGGGGGGCTGTAATGACCTAGATGTCGGAAGCCCCAGTAAAAAAAAAAAAAAAAAAATTCTAACCTCAACGCTCTTCTCTATTTCAAGCGCTTATAAATAAATAAATTAGTCAATAAACATTGACATAAATTAGTAAAAAAAAATACTGTAAGGCAATGACCGTACTACTTTCACTAGTTGGCGTTAAACTTTGAAAGGCCGGTGTACTTCAGATACATTTCTATTTCAAAAAAAGATTTTAAAATGTCTTCAGGTACAGAGGATTGGTTTAAAACGGTGATTAAGCTAAAACGAAGAAGGTTCAAAAACTCTAATAATTATTGTAGACTGACATCTATTTGAAAGTTGACATCGTAGCATGAAATTTTAAAGTAATTTTAAGATAGTTATTTTTTAATGAATTATCACTGTACGCAAAATTGTACAATCGGTTTATATACATATCACCTCTACGTCCAATCGTGCGTTATTTAATTTTAACATTTATAAACAAAACGTGAAAAAAATAATAGTATACCCTGAAGAACTATCCATAATTTTTGTTTTTATTGCAAAAAACAGTGAAGGCTGAAAATTCAAAGATAGATGCTTTATCTCCTTTACTCCGTCATTTTACATAGACAATAATTCGATGAAATACAATAAAATGATAGATTATGAACCTATTTTCGGTCATTCAACTTTATTGGTTATAATTTTAATGTGTAGAGATTAGTGACCGTTAATCTATAGTTATTCAGATATCGTGAGATGCGGTCGGGAGTGATGTAGGTTTCAGAAAAACATTTTCTTTATCGTGCCAACGTTTCGATCTTTTATTGAGATCATCTTCAGGGCCTGGGATTTACAAACAATGTTTAACAAATACATTTAGGATGTGGATAAATGAATTTATACAATGCAAAATATATTTTATATTCAAACAAAGTATTTCNAAATCCCAGGCCCTGAAGATGATCTCAATAAAAGATCGAAACGTTGGCACGATAAAGAAAATGTTTTTCTGAAACCTACATCACTCCCGACCGCATCTCACGATATCTGAATAACTATAATTTTAATTTTTTATAATTTTACGAGTAAGGCGAATATTGACAGTTCATTAATGTTTGAAGGATCAATTCAAAACTTCATTGTTATAACATACCTGTAAATTTTAACATCGTGCTTGTGTTCCCTCTTGGTCTGTAGTACTCAATATAATATTTAATTGCAAGTTTCTCCTTCGAACCTTCTCCCACCCCTTTCGAAAGATGACATAATATCACACATTTCCAACGGTGGTGCTTATCAATTTCTATAAGCCGATTTGGTACTTTAGGAATTCTGATAAAGACAAATTTGGAGATACAATTGAAACAATTGACCATATTATAAAAGAACAATAGTTTAAAAATAGTAAATTTTATGTAACTGAGATGACGTTATGGCTGAGCTATGATTCACTTAAATCTATCCTTAAGTTATCGAAGTAAGACTTTTTTCCAGTTCATTAGATTAACTATTTTAAACTAATTATTTAATAAAATTCTTAGAATTGATAAAATTTTTTTAAATATTGTATCTATTGTAACTTTAAGCAAATTAATTAAGGCAATCATTAATTTCAAGGGCAAAAAATCCCGTTTCTATGAAAAAGCTTGAAATTAGGATATAAGCTAAATAATCATTAGAACTAGAAGATTAAAAAAAGCTATTAGAGAGATTAAAACTTATGACCTACTTACTGGCTGTACGCATACTACTTTCGGCTAACTGAATTTATTTTTCCGTAACTTGATCTCCTCAACTACTTTCCTAAAATTTGGAATTTATAAAATTATTTTGAGAAATATATATGTATAAAACTAAAATTAAAACCATTCCATATGATGAAAGAGGGAATAAAGAATTTAATTAGCTTGTTACTACTGAAAATTTCCTAAATTTTGAGTTCATTATTAAAATTAAATAAAATTAATTTCCTATCCTTGTAATAACTACTTGACTAATTAACTTTTCCAATCTAATAATACAATATTATACTTTGAATAATCTTTGAATAGTCAATCCCTTCTTTGTTGGTTTTTCTTCTTTCTAACTTTCCAGTGGTTCGATTTTTTGAAGTTGTACATTTTTTAAGTTTCAAATTTGTTTGAGTGATAGTTTTATGACATTCTAACCCCCCTGGTCGATGTCACACCTGAGTTTATTTTTTACACGCAGTTTAACAGACAAAAACGATTTTTTGGAAGAGGAACTACGACCGACGCAACAAGCACTTATACGCATATATGAGGAAATACTCCGTATTTATTGAATAATTTCTCCATAGGAAATTTTCTATAAAATTGTTCTTCTCTGTTCAATTTTTTATTTACCTATATCTCCGTTTTTCTTTAAAAATATCCATTAAATAACAAAAAACAAAAAATTGTTATTTCTTGTACTTTTTTGCAAGTGGTTACTAAAAAAATGAGGCCACTTTTATTGCCTCTCAGGGTATAATTGTGGTTCTTATTTTGAAAATTAACTAACCTCAATAGAGTATGAATTAAAAACCAATAACACCGGAAAATTAAAAATATATTAAAACATATTGTTAAAAGATCGATATTTGTAAAAATGATCCAATTTTTTTGAACTCTAACTAATAATTATTCTCATTCGAAACTTCAATGTTGTCTTGAATCTGTAATAAATTTTGAAAAACTCAGAGTGTCCAAGTTTGAAAAATTAACTAAAATAATTTAAATTAGCGACGGCGGAAAAAGTATAATGTTAGACCATTGATTTTCTTAGAAGGATTATAAATTTATTAGTTTCGCTAAAAAGACATATCAGCGCTCCTGAAATTAGACCCTCATGGCATTCAGGTCCTCCCGGTTCAGTTTATAGTCTCAAACGTAAAAAAGATCAATTTATGAATTAATATAATTTTTTATTACTCCTATACCTCAGGGGTGTTCACCTACCACGAGCGGGCTTTCAAGGTTCAGCCTGAACATTCCAAGTCTTGAGGAATTCTTCAACGTGTCGTTCTTCAGACCGCAGAGGTAGGTAAAGACCATAAAATTCTGAACAACCATCATTTTTTTCCCAGGAGGAAAACCAACAGGCTCGCAACCACTAGTCAGTACAGGACTAAGCCTTTACCTTGAGGTTTTCCTTGAGGAATATCTGCATGCTTGGGCACGGGTTCGGAAAAACCCCCAGAGGCCTTTTCCTTGAAGATTTCGTGTACATACTGGCTACTTTAAAGCGCCTGGATCACTAGGATTCCCCTTGAGACTGTTTTAATTAGGCTCCAGGATCGTTCAACAGCTAGGTCATTTCAGCCCCAAACAATGCAAAATATAATCTAGCCTCTACACAAAATACAATTGCACAAATATACATTCACCTGTGTACATTGCACGCATTCTGATTGTCGGTAATGTACTCGATTTCTTACACCAAACTACAGTAGTAATACTTTCAAAAATATTCCTCCATCGATCCTAAGCACACTACTGAAGGAACAACTGTGACTTTGTTTCACCATCATCCCTCACCCTTCAGACCAAAAAATACACGTACTTAAACAAAGCACAGAACCACAAAACACCCTAAACAAGAATGTACTATGTACATTAATAAAAAACCCACTTCTTCGAAAAACCGGAACAAGGGACTTACAAAATATTGTTATTTTTAAATAAACATTTTATAAACTCTTATTATTTGGCAAATGTGCAAATAAACATTGGGTCAAGTGTTTCATGATTATTTTTACTGATCACTCGATTGAAATGTAATAATAAAATCATAACGTTTTCCCTTTTATTTATTAAAACTCGTGTTATTAGACCGACCATTAATTTTACAATGGTATATGTGCAATAAATAAATATTTACATCCTTATAAACGCATCGGTACAATAAGATTTACACTTCACAATTCACAAAATTATTAACTACACTAGTTTATAAGGCTTTTTTCTTTTCAACCATGTAACGACGTTTCGGTTGTATAAGAGTTTGGTCGCTTCTGGCTGAGGCAAGACAAAACTTTGTACTTCTGATGTGACCTCACAAGATTTCAATGGTTAAGGTGCATTGACATATGACTTCATATTGGAATGTTTTTTTGGAATTTGATATTGCTGTGTTTGGTACAATCCCAAAATTGAATACCATATGTTCATATAAGCTTTAGTACTTGTTTGTATAATACTATTTTATTTTGTTTAGTAAGGTCGGAGCCGCGTCCTATCAACCAGTATAATTGACTACCTTAACCTATTACTGCCCTTTTTGTCTTCGCGTGCTCAGTCCACCTCACCTTGGTATATAAGGTCATGCCCATCTTTGTAGTCGTAGCGCTTCTGATATAATAGTTCGATGTGAGAGACGGAACATGGTCCAATTTTTTGTTTGTACAATTTACATGTCCATATTTATGCTGATTCTCCATTTTTGTCTATTTTTTTTTACCTCGTTGCAACCCTTTGGAAGGATTTTGGATGAATGGTTGATCGGTCTTACTGATTCAAGGATGCCATTTTTACTCCATCCATTTTCGGCAAATCACTGATGTATAACAAGTAAAGTATTGGACCTAGTACGCTACCTTGTGTCACACTCATTAATTTATTGTTTTTAGTTCTGAATATTGGTCTTCTTGTTTGGGTCTAATGTCTGTCAGGTAGGAATTTATGCCAGATCTGGTCAAAATCTTGTGAGTCATCAAGGAAGATATCAGAAGAAATCGATTTTTCTTTGAATGATTTTTCTACTACGTACGAATTTGATCTATTTTTGAAAGTCTTGTTCGAAATCCAAATTGGCGGCCAGGGATGATTTTCTTGTTTTAAACAAATGGCTTTATTATTTCATTATCTAATGAATCATCATATACAAAATTTAATAAATATATACTTACAAATAACATGGTTCTGAAACTTTGGGTTGATTATGTAACTTTGGGCCAACATTTTTCCTCGATGGAGTATTTAAAGTCCCGTTGTAAACAAATAATAACTATTTGGAGATCGCGAGATGCGATCTGGTGTGACGTAAGTTTAGAAAAACGTTTTTTTATCGTGTCAACTTTTCCTTCTTTATTGAAATCATCTTAGAGCCTGGGATTTATAAACATTGTTAAAATTATACAAATACATGTAGGATGTGAAAAAAATGAATTCATACAACGCTGGAAATTTTAGACTCAATCAAAGTATTTGTACTCTCTCAAAGTGTTGTTTTCTGTGTAAATAATAACATTTTAATTTAACAATATATTGATTAAATAAAAATTGAAAATTAAAAATAAAATGTATAAATAAATTAGATATATGTATATACAAATTTTATTTATAGGTACGATTATTTCAGTCAAATTTGGATTTCAGCTAGTAAAAGTTGGTTTTAGTATAGGGCTACAATTTTATAAAATTGATAATAATTCACTAGTTTTCGTGGTCCGCTTGACCAATTTATATCTGTCAATTAATTAAGGTTTTTGGTTGAGCTAAAAACGTCAGTGTCACGAGCAGGATTCGAACCCACGATCTTCGGCTAGATACGCCGCTACTCTACCATTTGAGCTATCGTGACCTCGATCCACTCGGACATCTACTCCTCATCTCAACCCCACCTTATGAATTTTCCCTCCTTTTTGCCATTTTTCAAATGTCGTGTAATGGGGTTGGATTCTCGGCGACAAATGAAATGGCCAAGGAGAGCTTTAGTGAAGTATACTTCATTTTAAATCATTAAATTCACCAAATTTCGTGGTCCGCTTGACCAATTAATATATTACAATTAATTAAGGTTTTTAGTTGAGATAAAAAAAGTCAATGGCACGAGCGGGATTCGAACCCACGATCTTCGGCTTGATACGCCGCTGCTGTACCACTTGAGCTATCGTGTCCTCGATCCACTCGGACACTAACTTCCCATCTCAACCCCACCTTTGATGATAATGATAAAACTGATATGAATGATGATGATGATAATGTTAAGATATAACCACAACAGTGCAAACAAACTGTAAATTAGTAAAAATTAAACTAGGACGAAATATCTGGTCTCCTTAGATATTTTTTCACACAAGACAGTTTTTATAGGGCAAAACAATCTCAATATAAAATATTAAAATGGAACCCAACTTCGCCGAAGAATTCACTGCACCTGTTGAAATATTTAACTACAAAACCACAGTAGTCTCGATTGAACTTGTACTGGCTGAAAAAAGTTGTAAATGTCATCTTAAACTGGTAGGCTGAAAATAATTTAAATATTGCTCTAGAAAAATGCCATGCCGTAATATTAAAAGCACCTATTTTTAAAATAGAGGGCAAATCAATCAAGCCCTAAGGTAAGATACTTGGGTGTAGAAATAGGCAAAACGCTCAGTGCCTCAAATAATCAAATAAAGACGAGAGAAAAAACAAGATGCAGATACGCCAATCTCAAAAACCGTATGCACCCTCTATAAAAGTGCTTACCTTCCCATAATCTTATGGCGTAGGAGCTTAGACTCCTAAGCTGAGAAGCAAATGAGAAAACATTTTGGCCCAGATCCAGAGTCGCATTGATGAAGACGACGGAATCGTTCAAAACGACAAGATTTAACTTCGCTCTTCGATAGATGTGATTGTGTAGATGAAAAGGCACTGCTATGAGAAAAAGAGAGGAAAAATGATTACTTTCAAGGCCTGAGGAGTCATGAAATGGAATGGCTAACCAGATGCTATAAGCAAATGATTAACTGGCCAAATGGAAGACGGAATACAATAACCGTGGAAAAATAGCGTTAAAGGCTAACTTTCCAACATAATCGGTTCGACACCAAAATGCAAAATGGATCTTCTTCGATTACAGACCAGCCAAATTAAGACAGGGTACGAAAAACATTGCCAGCTACCTCTGTCAGTTCAACAGAGCAGACAGCCACCTGTGAACGGATTGCAGAGTCCAAGAAGACGTCGGGGACAAGATCTTCTGTAAGTAGTTTGAGAAAGAGCGAGACGTACTAAAAAAAAGAGTTCTCGAGTAGCTGGCCGCCCACGCTCAAAGACCTAGTCCAAACGACGCAACTCTGCCAGGCTTTTAAAACTTTTTCTGTGAAATACTGTGATGAATATTTTATTCGTGTTTATTTATTTTATTAGGTTGAATTAATTGCAATTAACCGTTAGGAAATTTTATCTCAGGCTGTTTTTTTTTGGTTTAATTAGAAAATGTATAAATTTGAATAATTTGTTGAAGTCCTGAGGAGCGGTGAGGAATGAAGTTTTTTTAGAAAAAAGCCTTTTTTTTGCCGACGTTTCGATTAGTATTCGGGTCATCTTCAGGGCCTGGGTAAATTACAAGACATACGTTGATTGGAAAAAAAAAACTAGTAAACATTCATACTAAATTTCATACTCACCTCAAGTAAATAATTTTTAATGTAATCCATATCGTGGTCCGATTGACCAAATAACTTCTTTCAATTAATTAATCTTTATGTAAACTATTGTTTGAAATGAAAGCGTCAGTGCCACGAGCGGGATTCGAACCCACGACCTTCGGCTAAATAAACCGCTGCTCTCCCCCTTGAGCTATCACTCGGTCAATGGTTTAATCTAATAATGAAAATACTTGGTTCAAAATATTTATTTAGATCTGTATTGTATTTTTTGCAATAAATATACGTTTTGTAATTCACCCAGGCCCGAAGATGAGCCGAATAAATGTCGAAACGTCGGCAAAAAATGAATAAGTTGTTTTTCTAAAATACTTAATTCTTGACCGCTCCTCACGACTTCAAAAAGTTATTGAACAATTCACTAAAAAACACATAAATTTGTACATATGTCTGAAAATATTTTAAAAGCCCTTCTAGATACTAGTGTGAAAGAAGAAACCAGCAAAGAGAGATCCTTTGAATCGGAATAGAAATTTTTAAAAATATACAATCTCCCTTACTTTCCTTTTGCCTCCCTTTATAGGAGAGGGCAAATGAAGGCCTTAAGAAACTCTCCCCAAAAATTGTATTTTTAGCATGCCAAGTAAGCCTTTTGTTCCGTCGGTATGCCGTCCCACATAGACATGGCGGGGTGGATTATGGGGAAAAGTTCCAACAATGATATATAGTCAATCTTGTCGAATGCAAAACGTTAGTAAATAGCTTTTAACGGTAAAACAATACAATACATTTGTGTTATTTTTTATTTAAAAGAAAGCAATGAGGTTTTATTAAATACAAACATTTATCGTCCAAATAATTATTTATTTTACATAGAATAGATATAACTCATAATGAATACTTTGCCATTTTAGAACGGTTTCTGTGATGCGGCATAGCTCCTACAAAAATAAATTCGTTGGGATTTATCGTTGTTAATCTCAATTTTATAGACGCACTCTGTGGTAATTTGGTAGCCTTTACTAGGTCAAGTTTTTTTGCGTATAAAGCTTTCCTGTTTTTTGGTTGAATAGTGCTTGTAAGTCGTTCATTCTTAGCAGCCGGTCTTTTCGGTATTCTAATGGAAATAAAAGGCCGAAGACGTTTCGTTGTAAGAAAACGAACTGGTTGATCGTCAGGATACGTATTATTTTTCAAAAAATCTGTACCGACTCCGTACGGAAAGGGTGAAGTTTGTTTTAAAACCTTTGCGCTCCAGTACTTTTCCTCATTCGGACATTCATTACATAAAGAAAGTGGAATTTCGGTTTTTGTTTTGCCTTCTTCGATTTCCGCCGAATTTTCTTGCTTTATTACGGACGGTGTAAATTTGTATATCTTGGTTGTGAAGGTTTTATAATGAGGGACTGTTTTCCCAGTTTCACCATCTTCTTCGCCATCTGTTTTCTGAGGTATTGCACTAATTGCGATTTTTCGACCTATTATCCAATCTGGTTTTGACGCTGGAGTGTCCATTGCTTGGGCCTTCTTCTCGGCTGAATTTTTGTATCCCGTATTCGTGTATATTGTACAATTCGGACAATGTCTAATCTGCGCACTGTCGTTGTGACCTGTAGTATCTATTTCAAAGTTAGTCGTTTTGTTCAACTCATCGGGATCTTCTGGTTGGAGGGTTTCCTTCAGGTTACTTTCTGTCATTTCATCATTTATCACATCGCTACCTGGGACGCTTTGAACGTTAGTGAACGTTTTCTCTTGATCAATGACACTCTTTTCTATTATCGGGATAATCTTATCAACAGGAGTTTTCCTTATATACATGAACGGGGGCATAGTTTCTTCTGGTTGTGCTACGGTCCATGTTAGATTGTATATTACTGTTAGTATTGTTTTATTTATTTGCATGTCATTTTCATTTAATACTTTTTGTTTTCCTAGGCTTGTACTGTCGTGTAGTTCCTCCTGTTTAATTTCAATCCTGTTGATTATATTCGGAGCGATTTCTGTCTCAATGAAAATCGGTTTACCTATTTGAAAAAGCGATGTCTTAGGTCCAGGTCCGATTTCTGAGCTGTTTTTGTTTTGTTCTTGTGTAGCTTTTAATATTATAACGCTTTTAGAATCGAATCGACGACGATTTCTAATGGCCATTACCTTGATATTTATTTCATAATCATTCGAACCGTCTTGTTTAAAAATGTTCGTTTCCAGTTGCAGATTGAAGGTGCCGAGCTGATGATCGTCCACGTAATCCTGAAATGGATAATCATGAATAATACCGTCCATTAATATTTCGACATTCGGAAAAACGACGATAAACTTTCTTGTTTTGCCATCGACTTTAGCTACAATTTCGCGTTTGTTTATAACTTTATCATTTAGTACAAAATTCTTGATATTTTTTGTAATTTTTGGTATTTTACCGGGTGTATTTCTTTGTCCAAATTCCATTTGAGGACTAAGTGTTTCATTTTTTTCGATTTTCTGCCTTATTTCTCGATCATCGTGAGTTAAGTCGGAAATACTGACTGTCGAGTCAGACAATTCAATTTTGCACTTTTTGTTTGCCTTTGAATACGGCAAAGAGCACGTGACGCGAATGCCTGTGTTCCCTGTCTTTTTAGCCGGTAGCAGCCGATTCAGAAAGGTTTCCTCTGTGGAAACGGACAGTCCTTTTTGAAAGTTGTACGCGCTCTCCGTTTTCACGAACTTCCTTTGTTTCTTTGTCGGCCTGTTAACTGTGAACCTCTGTAGACTTTTAGAAACGTCTAATCTACGATGGCTGCTGGATCCGTCTGTAGAACTACGAGTCTGTAAAAGAAAATTTCTACTGATACGATCGGATGTAGAGTTAAATGTTATAAATCTTGCCAACACTTCATTATCCTTGGCTTGTAGACGATTGAGTTCAGTTGCCACTAACAAAACGACGAAAACGTGGGATGCCAACCCTACTCTCGAACTCCGGTCCTATCGAACGAATACAAAATTATGCTTATGACAATAAATAACAAATATATGTGCAAGATATGTGTAAAGTGTAATGACTCCGGACCCTTAGTTTCATCCGAGTAAATATTACAATTAATTAATCTTCATGTAAGGCGTTGGTTGAGATAAAAAAAGTCAGTGTTACGAGCGGGATTCGAACCCACGATCTTCGGCTAGATACGCCGCTACCACTAGAGCTATCGTGATTTCCATCCACTCGGACGCTAACTTCCCATCTCAATCTCACCTCTCGAATTTTGCCATTTTTCAAATGTCGTGTAATCTATTTGATTCTCGGCGACAAATGTAATGGCCAGGGAGAGCTTTAGTGAAGTGGTAGGTATCTCAAGTGGTAGAGCAGCGGCTTATTTTGCCGAAGATTGTGGGTTCGAATCCCGCTTGTGACACTGACTTTTTATCTCAACCAATACATTACATAAAGATTAATTAGAAAGAATATATAGAAAGATTACAATTAATTAAGGTTTTTAGTTGAGATAAAAAAGTCAATGGCACGAGCGGGATTCGAACCCACGATCTTCGGCTTGATACGCCGCTGCTCTACCACTTGAGCTATCGTGACCTCGATCCACTCGGACACCAACTTTCCATCTCAACCGCACCTTTTGAATTTTCCCTCCTTTTTACCATTTTTCAAGGAAGTTGGTGTCCGAGTGGATCGAGGTCACGATAGCTCAAGTGGTAGAGAAGCGGCGTATCAAGCCGAAGATCATGGGTTCGAATCCCGCTCCGGACATTGACTTTTTTATCTCAACTAAAAATCTTAATTAATTGTAATATATTAATTGGTCAAGTGGACAACGAAATTAGTGAATTTAATATAGAAAGATGTTATTTGGTCAATCGGACCACGAAATCTAATGGATATAATAAGCCAAATGAATTCTATTTTTACTAAAGCTCTCCGTGGCCATTTCATTTTTCGCCGAGAATCAAATAGATTACACGACATTTGGAAACTGACAAAAAGGAGGGAAAATTCAAAAGGTGAGGTTGAGATCGAAAGTTGGTGTCCAAGTTGATCGAAGTCACGATAGCTCTAGTAGAGCAGCGGCGTATTTAGCCGAAGATCGTGGGTTCGAATCCCGCTTGTGACACTGACTTTTTTCTCAACCAATACCTTACATAAAGATTAATTAATTGAAATATATTATTCGGTCAATCGGACCACGAAATTTAACGGATCCGAGTAAATGTTTTTACGAGTCCCATAAAATATCTATTTTCTAGTAAAATAGTCTAATACTATTTTTCGATATTGGGATTTGTTTAAAACTAGAAAACTATAATTTACTACAATATAATTACTACTAAGATAAATCCTACAGGAAGTTTCGAACGGAAAGAAAAGGAAGATAATAGTAATAAGCCGATTGTACCAATTAGGAGCTGGAAGGAGGGCATGAAAATAAACGAAGGCCTTCATTTTAAGCGAGAAAAAACTACAGGAATGTTGGACTTTTTCCTTTTTGATAAGCTCGTTTCTTGTCAATTATTTTGGAAATTAAACATAAATATTTTCTGCAGACAAAACATACGTTAGCAAGTTTAATTTGAATATTAATTGATTAATGTATTTAACTTCTAATTGGAAAACTTCTAGGAAAATTTAGTTTTCTTTATTGGCAATTTTTGCATTTTACTGTATTTGTTTATGTGATAAAGTTAATTTCAACTATTTCAACACCTACGTATCTCGTACATTCATTTTTTCTGTTCGGAAAGTTTTTCCATACAAAATCTTGTTAAATTAAACACTCAAAACATTATAACGACTCAATAATTCAGGCTCATATTTCGTTTTATATTAATTTGACGACCGTATTAGGGCCTACGTGTCATGATGACTATTAATTATAATTAACAACCAACAAGCTTACCATTGGAAGGGGTACAACAGCGAAATTTTGTCTTTAAAGATTACTTAAACCAAATTGTAACAAGTAATTGTGTATGTAAATTGTAATAACTGTTGTGCATCCTATATATTTAATTCGGATAATCTTTCAACTGATGTTATTTATATTTCGCGAAAATATACGTACAAAAAATTATTTTTCAGTTTGTTGGATATATGTTTGCACGTGGTTTGGGTAATATCGGTAAGCTTTTCCAACGTTATTATAATTTTTTAATAAAAATAAGGTATTGGTTGAGATAAAAAGTCAGTGTCACGAGCGGGATTCGAACCTACGACCTTCGGCTAAATACGCCGCTGCTCTACCACTTGTGCTATCATGGCTTCAACCACTCGACACCAACTTCCCATCTCAACCCCACCTTTTGAATTTTCCCTCCTTTTTGCCATCCAATACCAATACCTTACTTAAATATTAATTAATTGAAAAAACTTTATTTGGTCAATCGGACCACGAAACATAATCGATAATTTTTTTAAAATTCAATTCAATTACTTCTCCAAGTAACTATTTACTCATGTGTATTATGAGAAATGGTTGTAGTTAAAGTTTTTTTTTATTATTCTTATGTTTTTCTACCGATCTTATGGGGGAAAAAAAGAAAATGGAAATTTACGTTTAGTAAACGTTATCTATGAAATTTGCTTATTTTTTTAATATTTCAAAAAAACTTAAGATTAAAAAAGATTCCTAGAGCCGTCAATTTTAGAGTGTTCTAAGTTGTGGTACTCATTCTTCTCAGAAAGCATCTAGTTTCAGAAAAAAATTTGGGGTTCCAATATATACAAAAAAGTGACCAATAGTAATTAAATTTTTGCGAAGATTCCAAAAGCGTCGTCAATTTTTTTTCGACAAGTATCGTCGACGAAGACCTCACTTTTTTAATTTCCACTCCAAATATTTTTTTCTGAAACTAGATTTTTTCTGGGAAGAATGAGTACCACAACTTTGGAACTCCTGCAAAATTGACCCCTCTAGGAATTTTTGAAAATATTCAAAAATTAAGGAAACTGAATAAATAACATTTATTAAACGGAAGTTTCTATTTTCTTCGTTTTCCCCATGAGGTCGGTAGGTAAACATAACAGTAATAAAAAATCATTAACAACAATTTCTCATAATAAAAATGAGTAAAATTGCTTACTTCAATATAAGCAATTATCTGGGAACAAAATTGTATCTAACGATTATTTAAACAATTAATAATTTTATTGAGTCATGTGAACCTTTCATCAAATAAATTGTTCAAATTGAAGTCCCTCTGCCGAATACGTACTTACATTCATAGAAATGATGAAAATGGGATGAGTATGGATGTGAATCTTTAAAAAAAATCGTCTTGCTCACAGTACTTCAACAGTTGAAAACACCAAACTGTGAGTAAAAATTACCTTTTGGAAAGGTACTTAAATTCAAGTAAGCAATATCCCTCATTATTATGAGAAATGGCAATGTTTAAAGATTTTTTTAATTATTACTATGTTTACCTACCGACCGCATGGGAAAACAAAGAAAACAGAAACTTGCGTTTAATAAACATTATTTCGATGGAAACCCAAAATGTTTCAATTTTTTTCTGAAACTAGATTTGTTTTCTGAGAACATTGAATCCCACAATTTTTTAACACCTGCAAAATTGACGCCTGTAGGGGTTTTTTTTGTAAAAAATATAACAAAATTAGGAAATTTAATAAATAACGTTTACCAAATTGATGTGTCCATTTTCTTTGTCTTTACCATGAGGTCGGTAGGTAAACATAATAATAATAAAAAATCTTTAAAGATATCTTACAACTGGGCTTAAAAAAAATCAACTCAAAAGCAGCCCGAGGGTTCATATAACCTCGTAGTTGAAAAATCCTCGTAAAAAAAGTGTTTTATTATTATGTTTACCTATCGGCCTCATGGTTAAATGAAAGAAAATGGAACCGTGCCTTTAATAAACGTTATCTATGTTGTCACAACAATTTCACACAATACCAATATGACACTACAAGAATAGTACCACACTTTATGCCCTGAAGAGGACCCGAATAAAGACCGTAACGTCGGCACAAAAAAAAAAAAAAAATGAAAAAGATGTTTTTTCTAAACTACCCCATTCTTTTCAGCGCTTCACGAATCGTACAAATTATTAAAAAACCGGTCACTAACAAAACACACGTTATCTACGAAATTTCCTTGATTAGTGAATATTTTTAAAAAAATCCTAGAGCCAACGATTGTAGAGGTGTTTCAAAGGTGTGGTACTCATTCTTCTCAGAAAAGATTAAAAATTTGGGGTGCCAGTATGAAATTAAATAAGTGATTTCCGATATTGAATTTTGACATGAACACATCTATTTTATTATAATATGAAATACTTGGTTCAAAATTTATATTTACATCTTTAATTGTATTTTTTCCAATCAACATATCTTTTGTAATTTACTCAGGCCACTGAAGATGACCCCAATAAAGGTCGAAAGGTCGACGCAAAAATGGAAAAAGTGTTTTTCTAAACAATCTCATTCTTGACCGCTCCACACTTCAACAATTTATGAAACAACAGGTCTCTAAGATACACACATACAAGTTAATCTAGAATTCGAAAAATAAAGAAATTATTCGGAATCTCATGCGTATTGCGTATCATGCCTGATCTGTGCATATTTCATTATAAACAGGGTGTCTTTTTATACATGGGCTAGCAGGTTTCCATATTTTTAGAACAGATACAAAAAAAAAATCAATGGTAACCCCCCTTACATTTTCCCGCAGATTCCAAGAGCGTCGTTATTTTTTTAAATATTTTTTTAAAATTTTTTTGGCGCAAGTATCGGACGTCACTCCTATAATTTCATATGGGAACCCCAAATTTTTGATTTTTTTTAAAAGAAAAATTAGTACCACAACTTCGGAACAACTATAAAATTGTAGATGCTAGGATTTTTTGAAAATATTAAAAAATTATGGAAATTTCCAGGAAAACATGTGTTTCTTAGTGACCGGTTGTTTAATAATTTATTGAAGTCGTGAGGAATGGTTAAGAATGTGGTAGTTTAGAAAAACACCGTTTGTCATTTTTTTGCCGACGTTTCGACCTTTGTTCGGGTCATCTTCTGGGCATGGGTAAATGCGAGAAAGTGTTGTGAAACGTGAACTTTTACACAACTCCAATATGACCTCACACGAATACCACCACACTTTAAGTGAGTATGAAACACTTGGTTCAAAATTTATATTTACATCTTTAATTGTATTTTTTCCAATCAACGTATCTTTTGTAATTTACCCAGGCCCTGAAGATGACCCGAATAAAGGGCAAAACGTCGACGAAAAAATGGAAAAAGTGTTTTTCTGAGCTACCTCATTCTTGACCACTCCACACTTCAACAATTTATGAAACAACAGGTCACTAAGACAAGTTAATCTAGAATTCAAAAAATAAAGAAATTATTCGGAATCTTATGCGTATAGCGTATCATGCATGTGCATATTTCAGTATTTCAGTATAAGCAGGCTGCTTTTTATACATGGGCCAGCAGGTTACCCTATTTTTAGAACAGATACGAAAAAAAAAGAAAAAAAAGATCAATGGTAACCCCTTACATTTTTGCTCAGATTCCAAGAGCGTCGTTAATTTTTTGGACGCCAAGTATCAGGCATAACTTTTTTAATTTTATATGGGAACCCCAAATTAGTACCACAAATTTGGAACACTTCTAAAATCGTTGGGCTACGATTTTTTGAAAATATTAAATAATTAAGGAAATTTCGTAGAAACGTGTGTTTTGTAGTAGCCGGTCGTTTAATAATTTGTACAATCTGCGATAGGCGGTCAAGAATGGGGTAGTTTAGAAAAACACTTTTTTCATTTTTTTGCCGACGTTTCGACCTTTATTCGGGTCATCTTCAGGGCCTGGGTAAATGCGAGAAAGTGTTGTGAAACGTGAACTTTCACACAACACCAATATGACCCCACACGAATACCACCACACTTTATGTGAGTATCGAATACTTAGTTCAAAATTTATATTTACATCTTTAATTGTATTTTTTCCAATCAACATATCTTTTATAATTTACCCAAGCCCTGAAGATGACCCGAATAAAGGTCGAAATGTCGACGAAAAAATGGAAAAAGTGGTTTTCTAAACGACCTCATTCTTGACCGCTCCACACTTCAACAATTTATGAAACAACAGGTCACTAAGATGCACACATACAAGTTAATCTAGAATTCAAAAAATAAAGAAATTATTCGGATGATCTGTGCATATTTCAGTATTTCAGTATAAGCAGGGTGTCTTTTTATACATGCGCCAGCAGGTTTCCCTATTTTTGGAACAGAGACGAAAAAAAATTTTTTAATTTCATATGGGAACCCCAAATTAGTACCACAACTTTGGAACACTTCTAAAATCGTTGGGGCTAAGATTTTTTGAAAATATTAAACAATTAAGGAAATTTAGTAGAAACGTGTGTTTTTGTACTAACCGGTTGTTTAATAATTTTTAGAATCTGTGATAGGCGGTCAAGAATGGGGTAGTTTAGAAAAACACTTTTTTCATTTTTTTGCCGACGTTTCGACCTTCATTCGGGTCATCTTCAGGGCCTGGGTAAATTACAAAACATATATTGATTGGAAAAATACAATTTAAGATATACATATAAATTTTGAACTAAGTATTTCAAACTCACATAAAGTGTGGTGCTATTCTTATTTTGTCATATTGGTTGTGTGTGAAAGTGTTGTGAAACTTGATTGTGTATTCTGATGTTTTTATATTATAAAATAATATAATTAAAAAAAATAGATATGATTATGTCAAAAGGATTCATGAAGATGACCCGAATAAAGGTCGAAACGTCGGCAAAAAATTGAAAAAGTTGTTTTTCTTAACTACCTTGTTCTTGAATGATCCTCACGACTTCAATAAATCATTAAGTGGAATGTTAAAAGTGGTAACGAATAGAGTTGTACCCTTCCGAATTCATCTGATGAATTTTGTTATATTTAAAACGCGTATTTTTTTATATACAAATTCGACCGAGTTAAAACAATGAAGAATGTCGATCTTACCGAAAAATAATGGAAGTGGAACAGCAAATTCATGACGTTGTGCGGTGGGGACTGGAGTGCGAAATCCGTGGAAAGCTGGTGCCACGGGGCCAGAATGATAAAAAAAAAGTAGCTCGAATAGTGGGCGCGGGGCGGATTGCACCAATTAATGAAGAAATGAATGATAGAATGAAGATGAAGATTAAAGCGAGTGGCGATGGAGTGGGGCGTCCCGGAGTAAAGTAACATTACTGGCGGGAATCCGGCGAACTAGGGGTGGGAGTACGAGTCGAACGTCAGTCTAACGCAGGGCTTGCTAGAGTATCGGACTCTGAGAGCCTTTCTCACTCGGCAAAAGTGTGTCTCTCCTTTTTTTTCACTCTCTCTCTCTCTTTCTTCTTCTCTATTCCTGTTTCTGTCCTCTTTTTCCGGAGTCGATCGCGAGTGGCACAATCAGAGGCACACGGCCGTCCCCAGCACATGGAAGTGCAAGTGAAGTGTGTTGAGTGAAGTGTTTTTCGCTCGTCGTATGTGCACAAGACGAATAATTATAAAAAATTATTTATACGAGTTATAAAAACGAGAAACGATACGAAATCACCGGCAGACACGATCCGCGTCCCGGGGCGAGGGTGTTGTCGCACTTTGTGTTCATGAGTTGTTTAGTTTTTTCATTGGGTTCACCTGCTCTAGAGTGATAGCTTGAAGTCGACCGAATTTGCAGTCGTTACAGTTATGGATATACTACCGAGTGGTAACATATTCAGGGAGCTGCAGGACATCCACGACACTGGCTACTTCTCGGCTCAGCCTTCGCTCGAGGATCACTGGCAGCAGGTAATCAATCTCATTACTCTTATCAGCATTCCACCCACCTTCTGCTGTCAACACGGTGCCCAAACATTTTCTAGAATTAACGCTTAACAAACATTTCAGAATATGTGCCGGGCCGTTTATGTATCGATTCGAGGACATGCGTCAAACATATGCCTTACAATGTTATTATGTCGAACCGTTGGAAATTTTAGTTTTTATGACACACTTTACTCACCCCACTGAGTGACTGTGCAGATGTCCTCTATACGCCAGAAAAAAAAGAAAAAAGTCTTAATTAATAGTCGAGACTGACAATTTAATCATTTGCCTTATGTTTACACAAATTTATATCGTTGTCACATTAAAATATGCAATTTATGGTGTAAACGCACATGTCGACGTTTTGTAAAATTATCGACTAACTTATGCATGTAATGTTCTCTTTGTTGTTATCAGGGATGTGGTCAATGAAAGATATTTTAATTTTTAAATCTTAATCTAGCTTTCGAAACTTACCATACCTTCTTCGGGGCTTGATTTTTGGTCAGAATTATATAAACTTAAATTCTTTTACTTTCATGTTAACTCTGAAAACCTTTTCTCTTTCTTCTTCACCTTTTTAACTATGAAATGACCAGAATAATTTATACAAATATCACAGACAGCAAAATGCTTGTAAAAAACAGCGTTTATATTACAATCTGGTTCGACAATTAAACAATAATTAAAAAAAACAAAATCTACAACAATTAACATGACTCGTCATTCACTGTGACGACTATAACTAGTCATGTTAATTGTTGTAGACTAATTATTTTTTTATTTTGTATTTATTGAACCATTGTTTAACCGTAGTCAAAAAGTTATAAAAATATGCCCTATCGGCATGACGAGGTTAAACTATGGTTCTATAATTACAAACAAATTAATTAGAATCTACAACGGTTAACATGACTAATCATTACACTGTGACGACTACGACTAGTCATGTTAATTGTTGTAGACTCTAATTTTTTTTGTATTAATTGAACCAAATTTTAATCGTATTATAAAGTGATAAAAAGTAGCTCCATAGACATGTCTAGGTTAAACTATGAATCAATAATTACAAAAAAAGAAAAAAAGGAAAAAAGAATCTTCAACAATTAACTTGACTGTTATTACCCAGTAGATGACTTTAACAAGTCATGTTAATTGTTGTACATTCTAATTTATTTTTTATTGATGATGAAACTATATATTAATGTTTTAAAAAGTTATAAATCTCTATTCCATCTACATAGCTAGGTTTAAATGTGATTCAATAATTAAAAAAAGAAAGAATGTACAACAATTAACATGGTTTGTCGTTATACTGTTGACGACTACTACTGTACATGTTAATTGTACATTCTAATTTATTTTTTATTGATAATGTAACTATATATTAATGCTTTAAAAAGTTATAAAACTCTATTCCATCTACTGAGCTAAGTTTAAATATGGTTCAATAATTACAAAAAAAAAACATCTACAACAATTAACATGACTAGTCATTCACTGTGACGACTATGACTAGTCATGTTAATTGTTGTAGACTAATTATTTTTTTATTTTGTATTTATTGAACCATTGTTTAACCGTAGTCAAAAAGTTATAAAAATATGCCCTATCGACATGACTAGGTTAAACTATGGTTCTATAATTACAAACAAATAAATTAGAATCTACAACAGTTAACACGACTAGTCATTACACTGTGACGACTACGACTAGTTATGTTAATTGTTGTAGACTCTAATTTATTTTTTTATTTTGTAGTAATTGAACCACAGTTTAATCGTAGTTAAGTGATAAAACTAGCTCCATAGACATGACTAGGTTAAACTATGAATCAATAATTACAAAAAAAAAAACAAGAAAAAAAGAATCTTCAACAATTAACATGACTAGTAATTACCCAGTAGATGACTTCAACAAGTCACGTTAATTGTTGTACATTCTAATTTATTTTTTATTGATAATGAAGCTATATATTAATGTTTTAAAAAGTTATAAAACTCTATTCCATCTAGGTTTAAATATGGTTCAATAATTACTAAAAAGAGGAACTACAACAATTAACATGATTTGTCATTAGACTGACGACTACTACTGTACACCTTAGTTGTTGTAGACTCTAATTTATTTTTTTATTTTGTGTTTATAGAACCAAACTTTAAATGTAGTCAAAAAGTTATAAATCTACGTTCCATCTACATGACTAGGTCAACTAATAATAATAATAAATAGTTTCAACAACAATTAACTTGACTTGTCGTAGTCGTCAACAGAGTAATGTCTAGTCATGTTAACTGTTGAAGAAACTATTTTTATTATTATTATTATTATTATTATTATTATTATTATTATTATTATTATTATTGGACCATAGTTTGACCTAGTCATGTAGATGGAACGTAGTTTTATAACTTTATAACGACGGTTAAAGTATGGTTAAATAAACACAAAATATAAATAAATTGGAGTCTACAACAATTAACATGACTTGTCGTAGACGTCTATTGGGTAATGACTAGTCATGCTAATTGTTAAAGATTCTATGTTTTTGTTTTTTTAATTATTGAACCCACTTTAACCTAGTCATGTCTGCGGAGCTTATTTTTATAACTTTTTAACTACGATTAAACTGTGGCTCAATAATTACAAAATATAAAATAAAGTAGAGTCTAAACAATTAACATGAATAGTCGTAGTCGTTATGTTAATTGTATAGAAACTATTTTTTTATATTATTATTGGCTCATAGTTTGACCTAGTCAGGTTAATTGTTGTTGAAACTATTTTTTTTTATCATTATTGTTGGACCATAGTTTGACCTTAGTCATAACGATTAACATGACTAGTCATTATTCTGTTGATGATTACGACTAGTCATGTTAATTGTTGTGGACTCTAATTAGTTTTTATTTTGTATTTATTGAACCAGTGTTTAATCGTAGTCAAAAAGTTATAAAAATAAACTCCATCGACATTAAACTTAAACTATTAAATTATGGTTCTATAATTACAAACAAATAAATTAGAATGTACAACAATATTAGCAGGACTAGTCATAGTCGTACAGTGTTATGACTAGCCTTTTAATTATTAAAGATTCTCATTTAATTTTTAATTTGTAATTAATGAACCATATATTTTAGTAATGCAGGTGGAACATAATTTTATAACTTTTTAAAATATTAATGTGCAGTTTCATAGTCCTGATGATGGAAATATATTCCTCGAAAGCTCGACGAAGGAACTGAACGTTCCTGTCTAATTGGCCTCATTCCTGATCACGTTTTCTACGTAAATCGTTTCTAAACTGGGATATATACTTTTACACAAAATCTTTGTCGTAGTGCAAAATTACATTTCAAAAAAGCGACATAAACCCTGTTGTAAATGTAAAGGAAACGTACACAAAAATTCTTGTGGTTAAAAGAAATACAAATACCCTTAATGTAAGTAGAAAAGATGCAAAAAATAATATAATTGTCATGACAAAAATTTGTATCATAGGCCAATTCGCTAACAATTGAAAAGATAAGATAGATAGCTTTGTCTATTTAAATATGATATTAGAGCGTCTACTCAATAAACCCATAAAATCTATGGAAAAGATTTTCTAAACTATAAACATTGATAAAGAAAACTGATCCAATGTACAAAATTAGACAAGTAAATTAATAATATTTTAAAATTTAGCAACTACGCATATTTGAATATCACCTGAACTCTGTTGCCTGTGAATTATGTTTAAAAAGTTATTAAAGGCTTGAAATCACTTGAGAATCCTTGGCCATTTTTTGGAGATGCACGACGAGCTAACCGCTGAAATATTCACAGCACCGGTAATAACATACAGATCCGAAGAAATTTGTTAGCCTTGTTGAACGTGCTAAAACTGACTTTCCACCTCGCTCATTCCCCTCGGGGATAATAAATAAAAATTATCACTTTTTCGCTCTTGTTCTCCAACCAACGTTGGTTGAAAATAACTATTTTATTTAGCGATGAATAATTAATAATTATGATTTAATAAACTTAAAATCACATATAGTTTTTACATAAATAATTTTTCTTGCATAATTTATGTCCATTGAATTTAATAATAATAATAATTTGTTTCTCTAGAACGAGTGACTTGTCCACCCGGACATATTACTATAAAAGACATAAAAATTAACCATCAATTTATTCTATCACTAAATGACTTTCCGGTGTTTTTTTGTGAATTTTCTTTCAAACCATCATAATTAAATAAATTTTATTAAAACTATGAATTTCTGAACTGATTTAATTTGGTTTATATTAAAATAAGTATAGTGTAGTTAATACAACTATAAAAATCCAAATATAGTTCGAAATAAATATCAAAATGCGAGAGTCCGGTTTTTAATGTCTTTGAGTGTATAAAGGTCT